CAAAACAAAAGAAAGCGTTTAGCCTCAGTGATCTTCCGTTATCTTTTTAGAAGGTCCGTCGAGTATACCAAGTTTTATAAGAGAATAAAATGGAAAAAAAACTATTGTGCGACATACTTTATACTTACTTAATTGAGCCTGGGTTAACTGTGACAATATACGCCAATAAAGGCCAATAACAAAAACGTCACGCTGTTAGAGACGAAACCACTGAAACAATCAAACACATTAGTTCTTTGCCAGTCGTCACGAACGAGAGCTTCTGGCCAAGCGAAGGCTTTCTCAAGGGCTTTGGTTGACAACACAAGTTCTTCAAGCTATAGGTTTTTTAAGTCTCCTGGAACGAATCCACTTTTAGAGGCCTTGTTGGGGCGATTTTAATTGACAAGAAAGCGCTGCTGCTACTATAACTAAGGTAATATATATGGYGAAAGCAAATATAAACAATGTATAGCTACAAACAAGTAGTACCACGAGGTATAAGCGATCACAAATGCAGACAACGAATGCTTAAAATCTAAAGAACTACAACGCATATAATAGAAAGTCTAACAGTTCCTAAGTCTAGTGGTTTTTATTCAGGTACTGTGTTTTTTTCTAGCGTTATCTTCCCTATATTGCTTTTACAAAACAAATATGTAGATTTTTCATTGTGGAATTAGATAGCATGCGCTCATGCATAAAGATCGAGGTTTGTTTAGCTTCTATATGTTTCCATTTATTGCATTTATAATTAGCTCAAAAAGAGTTGTCTTTTCAGTTCATGTCTCATTGAAAGCCATTCTAATTTCTGCACTTAACGCCTCAAATTGCGTTTGAATGGTTCACATGTAGACCTCTCAAGCCTCGTGTTAGTCCAGTATCGCCTCAAGCTATAACCATGTGATAGCAAGATGCATTTCTAATTATATTTTACTGTGAGAGAAATTGAATTTATATAAAAAAGTAGAACCACTCGCAAGGGATGTCATTAAACCTGTGAAACAAAATCTAATGGTAAAGCTATGTCATTATAGAATAATTTTAATTATGTTTATTCATATTATAGTTTTTATAGTATATGCGCGCTTTGATTGTCCGAGAGTCGCCGTGCCGTGTTCGTGTTGTGATCCGTGCCGTAGCGGTGATGCATTGCTAAATCTTTATTTTCATTTGGAATCCTACAAGGCTAGGTTCCGTGACCGTGCCGTGTCCGTGTTGTGATCCGTGCCGTTGCACAGTCATACGAAATCCGCTCTATGTTTCCCCGTTGCGCATGATTCTATTTTGCCACAAGCTTTTGCTTTCACGCTCACTGAAACACTATTGACAATTCGTAAAACAGTTTGAACACTACTGAAACACTATCTTGACTATTCCTTATAGAGTTTGAACTTAAAAAGTCCTTTGCAGGTTCATTTGGATGCAGAAAAAATTGTAGCTACTCAAAAGGGTCATGGTTAACGAGCGAGAAACATGGGTCAGTACACTTGACTTTTTGCTCGCGTTAATTGGGTGCTCTGTTGGACTCGGAAACGTTTGGCGTTTTCCGTATTTGTGCTATAAAAATGGAGGAGGTATGATTAAAGTATAATAATGATAATTATAAATATTATTAGTTACTCATTGATTCGTTTGTATTCTTAAAGGGTGTTTCTTGATACCGTATCTTCTCTGCGTTGTATTTGCTGGTGTACCTTTGCTAGTGTTGGAAACTGCCATGGGACAATGGATGAGCCAAGGATGCATWACAGCATGGAAAATCTGTCCCATTTTACAAGGTATGCTGAATATCGAGAAACTCTACTATATAAAAAGATGTAATAACCAGTGCGCCAATTTGAGACGATTGTAGGTCTGAAAGGGCATTTGTAGCTACATATTAAAATATTGCCATGGAACKGCCTTTCTTGTCTTTCTTCTGACTTGTTTTTTACTTTTTTTTGTCGCTGCATTTTATCTAMGAAGATTCACTGGTTCGGATATGAACGTCTGCCAAAATTATAATATACAGTGCTCTTGGAATGTTGCTTTGCCTAAAAGAGTCCTCAAATGCAGCATTTMAAATCTCGCAATGCTTTTAATAGAAGTACTATTGTTTTTTGTAAAGGAAATGCATGCAATACGAGACAGTGGTAAAAAAGCATATATTTTAAATTAACTTACAGGCATTGGCATCTCTGGTTTGGTTGTTAATCTCTATATGATAATTTACTACATCATAATCCTTGCCTGGACTTTCTTCTATTTATTCCACTCATTTACAACGACTTTGCCATGGTCTCATTGCAACAACGATTGGAATACGGCGTCGTGTTTTATAGGGGAAAAGATTGTAGCCTACAATGTGTCCATAAACGGCACACTTAACTACACCACAAAGTACTTACATTTTCTACATACTACAACACCGACCAATGAATTTTGGGAGTAAGTTTCAAGACATTTATTTCTTGTGTTTTTTTGTACTTCCTGCCCTGTCCATCTTTTTGCTCTTGCCCTTGCTCTTACTCTTGCACTCTTAAGAGTGTCTTCCTAGACACTTAAAATCATTCTTGAAAAAGCTGGCTAAAAAACACACACACATTGTCCTTTGCTATTTCTTTTTGATGAAAAGGAGAAAAGTTCTTAACATGTCTAATGGACTGGGCGAATTCGGCAGCATTAACTGGCAGCTGGCCTTATGTTTATTACTGGCGTGGATTGTTTGTTACTTCTGTGTCTGGAAAGGAGTCAAATCATCTGGAAGGGTAAGAGYATGCACTGCATAAATATTTGTATTATCATATAGTTTTCATTTGCAAATTCTATAATATAGAGCGCGACAACAAATGGTACCATGACAACTGTTGTTTAATCAAGGAATGACTAGAAGGTTTTGTAGCAATACAGTACCAAAAGTTTCTCACCGCGGTTCATTTTTTCTGATACTGCCTTTTTCATCGGGAATACATGATTTACAAGGAAATTTTACAGAGTTTTAACAGTGATATTATTGAAAAAGGTTTTCTGGTCTGCAAAATAAATTCACACAGAGATCTCACGGCCACATGAAATGCAACAACAAAATTTTCATTGTGTGTATGTCGTTCCTAGTCTTTAATAATGCTTTTTTATCATGGACATCGGAGATTTTTTTCAGTTATTTACATTTAAGCAAGAGGAGCTGTTACTTGTTGGCATTTTATGGCAGCTGTCAGTGACCAAAATTCCGACATAGCTGATCAGAATATTTGACACTCCTGCTCCAGGAACTGGATTTTTAGAAAATTATGTGGAATTGGAATGAAAGAAACTTTTAACTGATCAAATGTATTTGAACTCATGGCACTTTATCAAAATGTTGGGATTTCCAAAATTATGGCTGGGTCTGCGAGTCCTGGAGCGGTCGAAAACAGGCCAGGACTGGACTAGGCTCCCATAGAAAATTGATCATGCAAGTGTCGCGGTCTTACTGTACTATTATTTTCAGGTGGTGTATTTCACTGCTACAGTTCCATATGTTCTGTTGACCATTTTACTGGTTCGAGCTGTCACACTTCCAGGCGCAGTGGTTGGCATCAAGTACTACTTGCTTCCTGATCTGTCAAAACTAAAGGAAGGAAAGGTATTTTCTGATCTTGTCTTACTCTGCATCTTCAATTTTCTGATGAGAGACCCTTTGATTAAATAACACCTTACAGTAGAAAATAACATTTTTCATTTATTCCTCTGTCGAATATGGAACTCATCATATAATGGAAGGTTTGATGATAACAACCTTTGATCACTGATTCTGGAGTACTGTGCTGTGCATGCCATGCAATTTAATACAATGCAATGCAACAGATTACAACATACAATAAAATTTATATACTGAGGTTAGGACATGACAGTATTWTTAGGGAGGGGTTTAGAACACTCAGGAGGAGTGGTTGCGCTTGCACTCCATATGAAAGCAAAGAAAACATAAAATAAGGGCAATTATTGTAGGATACCAACAGCGCCCGAAACGGCCTTTGAGTCTGCTACTGTGAGTAAAATTTGCAATGCTGTAACAGCAAAGAGACAGCTAACGATGGAGAATTCAAATTGGAGAGCGGGTGGTAAAGAATTCCTAGCCAAGCCACTTCCATACTGCTCACACTCACCTAATCATTTGTTTTAGGTGTGGATAGACGCAGCGACTCAAGTATTTTTTTCGTATACCATTGGTCTAGGAGTCATGGTCGCGCTTGGAAGCTACAACAAATTTAAGCATAACTGTTATAGGTGGGCTCAAAATATACCGTGAAAATTAGTATAGTATCAAATTAAGCAAAGCATTAAGCCGAAACGTCAGGGTATACACCCTTTTAATAAGTCCCGAGGTATTGTGTTCTCCGCACTTGACGTCAAATTTATTCTTTTGAAATTTTTACAATACAAAAGGAATTCAAAAGAATAAATTTGACGTCAAGTGCGGAGAACACAATACCTTGGGACTTATTAAAAGGGTGTATACGGCGGGTATTAAAGAAAATACCTCTGCTTGGTGTGTCTTGACGCCTCTAGCTGTTCACTGATTTGTTAATTGCCACTGAACGGGGGCATGAAAAGTCGTAAATACGTTGGATAGAAATAATAGAAAGTTAGAGTGCTTGGAAAGGAGGTTATTTCGAACTAAAGACCCTCAGAAATAAACTCAGAAATATAAATTTCCGCGTCCTCGCTGTGATGCAAACCCACGACGTGCGAATTTGCACTATATCGATGATCTAGAGCAGTCGAGCTAAAATGTCAGTTTGAGAGCAGGCCGGACTTTCATCGATTTTCTGTGGCATTATTAGTACCACGTGATCCTTATGCCCATATCATTACATTCTATACATTTCTAAATCCTTGACTGAAACACTTTTTGTTTCGCCAGGGACTGTATTATATTTGCTATTGTAAATAGCGGCACCAGTATTTATAGTGGGTTCATTATATTCGCTGTTCTTGGCTTCCTGGCAAATAAACAGGGTATTGACGTCCAAGACATTACACAGTCAGGTAAGGGGCGGACCATGCATTTCATTTTTGAGGGGGATTGGAAGACTTTGTCCGTGTGCAAGAATTTATTTTAGGACTTCAACCTGTCCAGAGTTTAGGTTGTAATAAAAATGCCTTGGTGACGCRTTCACTGTTGTTTTGAGAGTAGTCTAGTGGTTAAGCTGCTGGCCTCTCACCGCTGTGGTCCGGATTCGATTCCCGGGCACGGACCATATGTGAGTTTGAGTTTGTTTGATGTGTTGTTCTCTCCCTTGCCACGAGGGTTTTTCTCCGGGTCTTCTGGTTTTCCTCCCTCAGTAAAAATCAACATGTGAGGAGTGCAAGTGTGCTAAAATACTTAATGTAGAGGTAGTGAGTGTGAGAGTACAGGGTCCGCAGTAATTGGATCAAACTGTTGAGGTTTCCCTGCCCAACTAGGGTTAAAGCTAATACAAAATGTCTTTTCGACCACACAAAATTAATATAGCCAAAAATCTGATTAAAATACTAAACTCCTGCGATAGTTGATCWTTACAACAAAAAGAAAGCTTTCCGTAACTACTATATCATCCTCTTGGTGAAAAAGGCACCATTAATCCTTAAGATCTAATTATGCTTTATTCCTAACCTTTAGGGCCCGGACTAGCATTTATAGGTTATCCTGCAGCCATTGCTGAAATGCCAGTTGCACCATTGTGGTCAGTTCTATTTTTCTTTGTCCTTATTCTGCTTGGAATAGATAGTCAGGTAATATAGCAATTTAAATACAAACTATATTGTTTACACTTTTTTGATTATGTTTCAYGGTACAAGTGCGTTGAATCTATTTTGTACAATTAATATTTATATTTGAGTAATGCTGTCAAGGGCGCCTACATGCATACAGCAGCCACCAATCAGTCACAGTGAGATATGGAGCTTACCTTGATCTTGCATTAYATMCTTATGGAGAGAGTRAAAACTCAATTAAGGAGTCGAATAATTTGTAGTGATTGGGGCTCCCTGTTAGGACCCATTATTAGTCTGACTTCTAATTCAAAAACCAGTCAGAACTAGAAGGGAAAACRAACAATGGAAACAATAAAAATCGCTGARGATTTATTGGGAATYGAACGTTTGAAAAGCCAGTGCTTCATCWCAAGGAAGCCCTTTGTATCTTTCTTATTTTAAACGGTTGTTCAGAACTCGCAAMGTTAATCACKTTTAAGAAAATATGWAAAWTTATTTATTTTTGTTTAGTTCGTAGGACTTGAAGGGTTCATAACGGCCATTGTGGATCTCTTCCCAAAGTACATCAGACATGGACGCCGTAAAGAGGTTTTCATTGCCGTTATGTGTGTTATATGGTTTTTCATTGGTTTGACCATGGTCACCGAGGTAACAGTCCATTAATTAATTCACTGATTTAAATTGTAGCTAATTGTACAAGCGAACTGTTGTTGCACACCCTTCTCATTTTTACTCATAAAGTTTGTCACTTTGGCAAGGGTGCTGTTTTAATCATTAATCACACAAGAAACGACAAAAAACTGCTACCATTACAAATTGCAGTAACATAAAAAAAATTGATAAATAAATAACATAAAWTTTTCGTCTCAATAAATCTAACCTTTTTTTCATGTTGCACTATTATCGGGGARACCCGGATGCATACTCCTCACTTCATGTTTCTGACTGTGATCAAAGTTGAGGAAAACGACCCTAAGAGCAGCGATGAAATCAAGCCTACAAACTCAAGTCTCATTCATCTCCAGAACGAAAATCGCGCTAACTGCGACCACAAAAGTGCTATAATGACGTTTGACCGCTGAACCATTCTTTTTTCTCATCTCTGAATCCCTAAGTTATGACCAATAGTCTCCTTCACGGTTACCTGCGATATCTTGAAAGGTGAGCCGTGCCTTTGCATCGAAGCGAGACGACCGTTGAGCGTGCAATGATAGAAACCTTCTTTCACACCTACAGACAATTATTCACAGGTTTCTATCATTTCACTCTCATCGGTTGTCTCGCTTCGAAGTAAAGGCACGGCTTCCTTTCAATGTTTCGATGTTGGTATCTGGTATATGTATTCAATAAAACCGTATTTTTTCTACTTTAGGGTGGTATATACGTGTTCCAGCTGTTTGACAACTACGCTGTAAGTGGAAGTGCCATTTTGTGGGTGTGCACGTTCGAAAGCATTGCCATTGGATGGATCTACGGTAAGAACCTTTAGCTCTGTTTTAAATATATAGCTTAAACCTGTAAGTATCATGAGCTTGCCGTAGGATGGTTGAATAGCGCTATTTATAAAATTTTTGATGTGTAACGCGCGCTCTGATTGGCTGACGACCGTGTTTATATCAGASKRMAGAGRYACGRCTTACCGGCAAAATTTTCTTTTCGCTCGAAAAATTTTATAAAAGAAATATGAAACGGCCGCTTGTGTCTCTGTCCTCTGATGTAAACACGGTGGGAGCTGAAAAACACTCGAGAAGCAAGAGAAAAACTCGTGTTCCTAAGCTTGCTTCTCTCGTGTTTTTCGAACTCCCATCATGTTAATATCAGAGGACAGAGACACTCGCGCCGTTTTATATTTCTTAACTATAAATCCTTATGTTTTGGATAAATCCAATGATATGCATACCCGTCCTACATCCGGCTCCAGCTTTCGACATGGAAAAAGATAATTGAAATCATTTTGGTGCTCKGAACTGCACATTGGCATACTGGTCCATATTGCTCTAGCTAGGTCAATTATAATAAATGTGAGTGCTGCCCAGTACTTCGAAACGAGTTCATGAATGAATGCTCTGAAAATGCCCCTGAATGGCCATGTCCAGATTATAAAATATAATATTAACTTTCAGGAGCCGAGCGATTCTACCAGAACATCGAGCAGATGATMGGATTTCGTTTGAACCCTTTTCTAAAGATCTGCTGGCTGGCCATGACGCCTCTGTTCTGTGCGGTAAGAGAATTTTAAAGAATACATACCAAGCTTTCTAATTGGTYGGAATTAGATCAAATAAATGGTTGTAGGTCATATTCATTATGACTTAAGCGTTACTTAATCTTCACCTACAAGTTTATTTATTTAGTCGAGCTTTCAGTTCACCGAGCTATTATCAAGACTGATGAAAAAATGTTACAGTTACAGTATTKTAGACTGTAACGTTTTGTCATCAGTCTTGATAATGGCTCTGTGAGCCGAAAGCTCGGCTAGATAAATAAACTTTTAGGTTGAAGTAACGCTTAAATCATAGTGGTTAGAATTAGATTGCGTATCATGGTATACTCACGAAGCCTTTCCTAAAAAAGTAATTGCTGATTGCATATATTGTGGTCTACATCGGTACAGTAATCGGTACATTAATCTTTTGTTTTTGAGAGCATKATTCATGTTCTTATTTGAACTGTCCCCTTCAAACGAATAAAAATGATTTTTCTCTTCATACAAACGAAAGCATRATTTGAGGCTTGATTTCAAGAAAAGAAACCTTCCCCGATAGTTACTTTCTTAGGAGTGACTAGTATTTTRGTTTTGTTTTGTCTGTCTTGTTCGCCCAGTTTCAAAAAGGTCCTCCRTATATTGCTTGGATCTATTAGGTCATATTGACTTTTGTTTTTTAGTTCTCTTTTAGTTCTTATATTAATAATCTATATATATGTTGTTGTTSTTTTTTCATTACAGGGAGTTTTCATATTCCTTATAGCAACCTATCAGCCTCTCGTGTATAACACCTATCATTACCCAGACTGGGGCGAGGCAATCGGTTGGTGTTTGGCATTGTCTTCAATGGTCTGGATCCCTATCTTTGCTGTCTACAAGCTGATTACTACTAAGGGAGATCTACGGACAGTAAGTTTACAGAGCATGCCTTTAATGACGTGCCTCATAACTGTGCAACCACTGATAATTAAGGGCAAAATGTTTATAGTTTCATGAAGAACGCGCGGCATAGACCTTTTCTGAGATACGAAATCATGGTGCATTGTGGTCTAGTTTCAGTACAAACAACACCATATTTGGCCACATGAACAAAAGATGTTTGTACCGAATCTAGACCACGATGCAAAGCGTCATGCTATTTCAGAAAAGGCCTATTGCCGACTCGGTTATGTCAAGCAAGCAAGCGGTCTCATGATCCATTCCACTTATGAAATCCGCTCTCTATAGTTGGCATGGCTTAAGCAGGGGGTTCTATTTTGAAATTCTATTTTAAACTGATTTTGAGATAGTAAATTTGTTAATATGAAGRTCTCATTCTAGCAGCCACACTATGTCTGTGCATTGAAAAAATGAACCCATCAATTCGTAAGGCAGCCTAAGGCCTGTCAAGTGCATTATATATATTGACAGTATTCAACATGAACCACATATGGCTTCTTCTTTTGTCTCTAAGCATCGATGTTGTTCAACAATTTCTAATTTCGCGTAAACACAATGTTTGGATTTGTTATTACTGTTTATCCTCGAGGGAAGGGGCAGTATTTAGTCCTAATTTACAAATGACTTACCATAAATGAAAAACCATATTGCGACCCCAATTTTCTAGGCACAACTGATAAACAAAAACGTTTCGTTTCRCTGCACTATACCCTTTTTCTATGGATAACTTTTCAATTTGTCTATTACAGCGCATCAAGTTACTCTCGACGCCAGTCCTYCATCCAGATCGTGAGATCAAGGAAGACGGCAAACCTTCAGAGAATATTCAACTAAACGAAAAAGATGGTCTGATTTGATGCCTAACAAATATGTGTTCTATCTCCGGATCATTTTCAAAAACTTGTTMATTTATTGCTACGTGTCAGTAAAGCTTCTTTGTTTTAGAATTGTTTTAGTTCTTTGTATTTTGCCATATTTTTGTAGAGGGAAGTGGTTAGGAAGCCTTTTGTTGTTAGGTTTTTGTGCACTTCTTTCCAAGCGTGACCGTGCACAATCTTTTGTTTTAGCCAAACTGGCCACATCTGAACGAACAGAGCGAAAATTATTTCTTTTGACTATCTCTTTAAAATGCACCAAACTTTTAACCAATATTGAAATATTACGGTACAACGTTTTTCTACAACTGCCGCATGCAACATGCGTAAGTCATCAACACATGGGTACAACTGTCGGCGTAGACACAATAATTTTATAACCCTAGCTACGACAGTTTTAGTTATGTTGTAATGGTGATTTAGGCATCTGGATGAGAAAGTTGTAGGCAAAAGTTGCACCGTCTAAATCGGCCTTAAGTCGACTAGCGGTGTCCTTTCGCCATCGSGTTAATAGTTAATAAACAAAAGAATGCATCTTTTAGTATTAGCCAGCAGGCTGATTCAATTCCAATTTCCATGTCTGCTGGCATGACTAAAATTTAAATAATGATAAATGAAAATTGTGAAAGACATACGGAAGGTAAAGGTAATCAGAAAAAGCGAATATTTCAACAAAAAAAAGTAAACAAGGTAAAACAAAAAAACAATAAAAAGGAAAGAATTACTTGGGTGGAAATTTTACTTGGGCTTCGTATTAATAAAGTGGTATACAAGTACAGTATTTTCTTTTCGGGATGAGGACGAAATTACAATGAGAGCAACTTGTTAAAATGAGACGATATTTTGCTGTTATCTTAATTGTATTGCATGATAACATTGAAATCAGGCATCTGTTTTTTTTAGTTTTGAATGAATTTTTTTTTCCATTAAATTTGAAGTTGACTTTTTGATATGATTCGTATCAAAGAACACACTAATTACGTTTAAGACGACCTGTTAAAACTGTGATGAGCCTGCCAGCCTACTGACAGCTTGATGTTATCAAAATTATCATTGCGGAGGGGCCGATCAGACACGTTACATTAGAAGCAGTTTTTTTCTGACCATCAGATGAACTGGTGAGCGGAATAGTCCCTTCAACAAAATGGCTGATTTTAAACTCTTAGCWAACATCTCTAATAACACATTCAGGTTTATCATATCAGGATCAATGAAGCTGTGTGGCAAAGCACCTGAAAGTGACCTGGAAGTTAATACAAAACGGGTTGCTCTGATACTGTTGACAACCTTTGGATTTTTAGGAAACATCTTTATCATAGTACTCGCTATGAAATATACAGTACGCAAGAATCTGCATCATTTGATCATCAACATSGCCGTTTCCGATAACCTMTTCATCATTATGTGCCTCTTAGACATTATTCAATGGCAAATGTCAAGTAACAAGTTGCTCTCACATTATCCTGATGGCATCCTTGGTGACTTCCTGTGTAAAGCTCGARGCATTCTTTACGAAGTTTCGTATAAAGTCTCCTTAGTTACCCTTTTGACATTCAGCATTGAACGATTCAGAGCAACAAGGCAAACATTACAKAGAGCGCGGCCGTACACATTGAAGAAACGCCTGGCAGTTGTCCTTGTGTGCTGGGCGGCCCCCTTGGTCATTGAGGTCTACCGSTTACATTATCAAAAGAATGCAGAAAATGGGAGATGCCTTATATATGCAGACAACTTTTCCAAGTACTATCTTTTTTTGATTGCATGTGCAATTGTTGCAGTGATGATAACGATATTCACACTAAGCATTTGGACCATAAGACGATTGTCAAGACYTCAAAACATCCACGCACATCTCAACCAAGAACARCAGRACATGAGAACACGCCGAACAAAGGCAGCCGTACTGATGGTTCTTGCTTCTGCACTGCTATCGGCATGTTGCTGGCTCCCAACATTGATTTTCTCTTCGATTTCTAAATCAATTCTTGCTACATCARCCATTATAACAGTGACTTGCACGTTAGACTGGAAATCATTTACGTTCATGACAGCTTATTTCCTTCCTCTGTTCAACAGTTGCTTCAGTCCTTGCATTTATATTATCTTTTTGCCCGACTTCCGAGAAGCTGTTAAAAAAATACYGAGTCGAAGAGTCCAACCTATAAGAAGACCCTCTATAGAGTTGCAGTCAATCCGTGCAACATCATCTKTGGGACCTAACAGAAAAGACTAATATTCAAGAGATGGATCATCAARTAATCTAGAGTGGGAGATATTCAATATCTTCGCTATAATTTAAAAATATTGTTTGAAAATTATTATTAACGCTAATAATACAAAAAACATTAAACAACAGCGTGGAAAGTCTTTCAACAAAATTAAAGATGTAAGTGTGAATCAATGCTATGTCATGGACTTATCTTTACATCAACTGATGTTAGTTTAGCATTATCATATAAAAAGGAGTAGAAACATTACTAACGTTTAATAGGAACTCTAAGTAGACGCCATGTCAGATGTTTGCAAAWAAAGAGTGCCTTGTATCACTTTGACTTTATGTTTCTTTACTGAAAAGCTATTTCCCCATTCCCTCCTATCCTTATTCATAGAAGTAAAAGTACTAATAACGTTTTAATAGGAGCTCTTCAGTTGATCTCAAGAACTTTGAAATGGAAGTCATGTCAGGTGTTTGCAAAAAAAAGAGTGCTTTGTATCACTTTGACTTTCTAATGTTTCTAGCTTCACTGAACAAATATTTCCTCTTTCCCTCTTATTCTTATTTTATAAAAAGGAGTAGAAATACTAGTATGTTTTTAATAGGAACTCTTCAATTGATCACAAGAACCTTTAATTGAAGCCATGTCAGGTGTTTGAAAACAAGGAGTGCCGTATCACTTCGACTTCCTGTTTCTTTACTGAACAGATATTTTTCCTATTCCCTCCTATTTCTTATTAAATAAAAAGGAGCAAAAATCCTAGTAATGTCTGAACTCTTCAGTAGATCTCACAAACTTTTACTGGAAGCCATGTCAGATGTTTGCAAATAAACAGCATACCTTGCATCACTATGACTTTCTAATTTTTCTTGACTGAACAGATATTTCGCATATCGTTTGGATTTTTTTCCTTTTTACCTTATTCTTATTACTTTTCATTTCTAATGATTTGTTTGTATATATTCTTTTCATTTTTTACGGTCCCCTCCCCTCCCATCTCAGTTACATCCAGTACATTCCATACAACCCCAAATAAAATGTCAGTGACCACTGTCAGCATAAAATATGAATGTGAAGTGCTTTCATGCTGAAAATAAGTTTCTGCTTAAAAAAAAACAGGCCTTATCACAAGTAAAAAAAGGATTATCATACACCTGGATGCCTTTCGGCACATCCAAAAATAAAATAGCAATTATTAGAGCTTGACATGACAGTTCACTTCATGAATAATTAGGTCTCCATAAATGTCATCGATCATAAATGACATTAGAAATGTYATGTGCGATATCAAGGTGGAGTCCTGAAGTTKTTTCATGTTTGTTTTGTTTCCTTCTTCTTTTTCTCTGAGTTGCYCACAAATTTGYSTCATATTTCAAAAAWTTCGTGGTCAATGAATAGGAATTCCGGAACCACCATGTAAGCGCCCTTKCAGTAGATGGCAATTTCTTAAGGTCATTCTTTATTTGAATAGAACCACTCATAACTCTTTAATGAGACTCTGTATAGTTATATCTACGACTTTGAGGAAAAATAAATAAAATCCATGGGGCTTCGACATTAGGGATTGCGACATTGAATATGGAAATTTATGTTGCCTAGCGTTGCCTTACTGACATTGAATTATTGCATTCAAGTTCACTTTTATTTTTCATGCGTTCTACATACGCCATGTTATCTTTATGTTAATGTAGAAAAGTGTTTTCCAATTCTGATGTTTCTCGGTTTATAAGGAATAAAAGTGGGCTCCTGGCTTGAGCTMTCTAAAATTGGCATTTTCTGTTATGTGCCGAGACCGTTTGCAGATTGGAAATGATTCTTGCGAAAATTATCAGAAGTGGCTGTTTCTTCGGGTAATTTCTCCTGACATTATCGCTTGAGTTCAATAACATCATTTTGGTGACATTGTTGTTCACTCAATACCTTTTATTTTCGACGCTTTTTATGTAAATAGCATTTATAGTGTTAACTGAATGTTTTTCGGAGCTCGTGCTGACAAAAATTCATTCGAAATACAGTTAAGCTGCAGTGTGGGAGGGCCTTGAAGCAAAAGAAATCATCCCATCAAATGAGTACCCTTAAACATTTGCATATCCTACAAGTAGAGGCTTGTCCTCTTTGACATATCCTTAAAGCGCATGGAAAAAAGAAGCTATCTATCAAATTTCAGTGTCCTAGTGCCATTTATAGCGGAGATCCAAGCGATTTTATGGTCGGATGACCACATACAAACGCTTTTAAATTTGTTCTTGTTCCTTTCGTTATGAACAAGACCAAATTTACAAGCGTTTGTGGTCACCCGACCATAAAATCACTATATCTCCGCTATAAATGACACTAAGAYACTCATGTTTAGCAAGGATGCATTAAAAATGATGCATTTTCAGAATATGGAGGGCAAATGTCAAAACCCGAACATTTTCGTTTTGTGACGTCATCACTTTAGTACTCTATTTCCAAGACACTTTCCGTCACGATACTGTATCTTAGACTGGATTTCGTGACTAAAAGAATTAAAAAAGAAAGCAATTCTGCTCTACTGGCCAAGTAGTTTCGTCGTAAGCTGTTGTGGTACCTTAACAAAAGATCAGATTGCGTGACCAAATTCTCATATAAATAGAAAGCCCGATGAAAAGGTTTCTTRGGAATGCARCAGCAATAAAAGAATGGATTGCGTGACTGATTGTTCTTTAAATAGCAATTTAKCTTTTAATTTGATAAAAGTCCAATGATGTGACCAGTTCAMTGTGGTAATTCGGCACTGTAAAAGCTTTGCTTTCCTGGAGCACGTTACAGGTAGTCAGCAATTCTAGTGTTCGGCAGAGATTGACATGTTTTCAACTGTTTTTTGATCCGAAGTTGAAGGACGAAGGTACTGTCACGTTGGCAAAGTTGTATCCTCCCTGTGCTTTGATGCGCTTGGATTCTGAAAGGTAGAAATTCATTCATCTTATCCTCATTGTTTTCAAGTTTTAAGCAAATTTCTCGGAAACCAAGGGTATATACAGCTATTTCAAAAAAACGTTGTCGGGGAGAACGGCAAACGGCGATTGTCGAAGGGATATTGCACAACCGAAAGGAACTATGGTCACACTGTTTATATAAACAAAATCTCACTTAYTGGATTCACCTTATATAGAAATGGAGACTAAATGGAGCCAAATGTTTACCACAGACCATCTTACAGTACAAATCAGTTGTTATTGCCTTTTAACTAGCAAAACCCATAGCTACTTTCGGTSGTGCAATCGCCGTTCGACCATTGACATTCGAAATTTTATCCGACAACCTTTTTTGAAATAGCTATATAACTAGACCTCTTTCACTATGTCCGCCTGCGACATTTCGGCAGTTATACAATAACATCATGACGTCATGGTATGTTTTAAAAAAGGGATTGAATAGACTATTGATCGTTTTCAACCGTTCCCATAACATTCAAAAKATAACACCGGCGGCCATTTTRRAGGAATGAACARTAYRYACTAATGAGAAATCTTGTGTTAAAGCTTCTCCAAGATGGCCGCTGTGACGTAACTTGAAAACAAAGAATAATACTGTGACGTCGTGCTATGTTTWAAAAAGTAGCAGGATCGTCTATAACAATGGAAATTTRGACAAAATGTTCTTTTTCATGAAAGTTGAGTGCGAAATTGAGTACTAATTATTACGCAATCCACTGCCTTCTCTAGCTAAGTCATATTTACTAAAAGATCACGTGGCACGTACCAGCGGCTGCACTTCTCTGATCAGCTTGATTAAACACTTGCTGTAATTCTGATTTTTGTTCTGTGGTCAGTGGTGTCATCATGGCGGAATACCAATGTGGATCACGCGTTTGTAAAGCTGTCAAAAGAAAGTATTCATTCATTCATCAATCAATCAGAGTTTTTCGTGAAACAATCAATCAATTGGCTACGTAGTCAATCAATAAGTAAGTTACAAATTTGTYGGTATGGGCCTGATTTCATACCGTGAGGGACTAGGTTCAAGTCCCTTAATTGGCACGAAGGATTAATACGACCAATATAGAACGAACTGTCCGAATTTGCCGGCGATGAGGACAATATTAAGCGATTTACAACCTTTCAAAAACGCTAGCATTTACAAAGAAATGTAAAGAATGCCAGAAGCTGCGTCCAAATTTTTCTAAAAGACATTTCTTTGTAAAATCTAGAATTTTAGAAAAGCTTCCAATTGTTTACATTTAATCTGATTGACACCAAACTTTGTGAGTTTCTTATTAACAGTGCGATCGTTCGTTCTATAAAAGTTTCATCTCACCATCATGTGAATTAAGGGACTTGTACCCAGTCTCCCACGGCATAGTTGGGCAATAGAAGGAAAATCCAAAAACGTATTGATTAAAGGCCCAGTGTGCACMATTATGCTTTGGGGCCTGAAGGCGGCCATTTTCAGTTTACCGAAAGTCTATAGTTGTACCGTGCGTTTCGAATCTTTGACCATCTGACTTTTCTAAGTACTTTAAACGCTAATATTAGAGTTTTCAACCATCTGACATTCATTTTATGGTGATATTTGGATACTAGAAGTATTTTTGTGTAAATTATAACAATAACAGAGGCGCGCAAAGCATAATGGTGCAAACTGGGACTTTAAACTTCAGTTCTGTGCATTACTGACTTACCCATGAGGGTCGATTTAAAAGCAATATATTCGTCCATGCTTTCAGCGTCAACTGGAGTTGTATAGCACTCTAACGGTGTCTCTTCTTCGTCTTCATCGTCATCTTCATCAAGGTGATCTGAAGCCTGAACATCGACATGAAATATCAGACAGACAGACAGACAGACAGAAATAGAAGATACACAAAGGAAATTCTTATGCCCAGATCGTTCTTATTTTCTCAAAAGAAAATAAAATACTCTGGTTGGACATATACCCATTTTTTTCGGACAAAATGGCGAATATCAATTGTCGAACGGCGATTGATCGAAAGTAGCCATATGTTTTTGCAAATTGATGAGAAAAAACAACTGACTTATACTGTAAGATAGTCTGTCTGAATCAGAAATCAAAAAGATTGAAAGTAGGGACAGACGGGCAAAAGGAATGACAGAGAGACCGACCTTTTTTGCAAGATTTTCAATATATTCAACATCATCTTCATTGATTTCATCTTCATCACTTTCTAGTTCGTCTGAAAACAGAAATGTAAAAGATATCACATTGGCGCGCYTTTCGAAAGAAAAATTTATACTATATTAACATCTAAATGTTTGACTTTAATAAATTAATGAATCTCTTTCTCTTTGAGTCTTTGGACACGGCCAGTCTGGAGATGCCAGTCTGATGTAATAAAAACGCGCTTGMTCACCTTCGCCTTCAAGGTCTTCGTCTTCATCGTCACTGTCTTCTTCATCCTCTTGTCTGTCTGTAATAAACAATCCACAAGTATTCGTTAMGCTAAGTCACAAAACCTCTTAACGGAAAGCACTATACTATACTTACATTCATAAGCTCGTTTGATTCCATCAAATACCAAGAGAAGTGAAGGCACGATTCGAGGCGCTATTTGCATGATTATCGCTTGCGGCAAATCCTCCTTGGTTGTGTCAAATAGCGAACAGAATCCAAGTACGTACATCTTGCGATCATGAAGGCTAGAGAAATGTAACACCATAAACAACTTTCAAAAATGGCGGTAGTTCGCGACGGACAATATCGGAGGACTAGCGACGAAGYATGGAAGCGAGACCTCAAAGGCCTTCCATATAGAAATCACTACGAAGATCACACGTATGTAGTGTCCAAAAGTTTGAAAGATGTATTGGTATGTTATTATTATTTTATYATTCTAACAAAACACTCTTTATGGCATACGGAGGCTGGCGTTTTAGAGCTTCGTCCTCAGTGCCCTTGTCGGTGACCGTGACATATCGTGCCACTTTTGAAAGTCGTGAATTACAATCGTCTAAATTATCAGCTTTAGTTGTTATAACAAACAAAAGTTACGACATAAACCGGAAGTAGCTTAGCTCGAGCTTAACTCGTGCGTGGTGCTTAGGCCTCGTTTCCATTCCTTTGTTTTCTATTGTTTTTAATTCGCGTCCAGTTTAGTACGCAGTAAACATCTGTGTTACATACTTGGAAGGGTAACCTCACACYTGGTTAGGGCTGTATACATGTTACTCGAAAAAGTCTCAAACTTTGAGAGTTAATCAAACCTTGCTTTAGAAAAAGAAAAGTTGCTGAAAAGTTGCTCAATGAAAAGTTCACGTTTGTAATCTCGATATCATAGAATCGATAAATAACGAAAAGTTGCTAAAGGCTGCTCGAAAGTGAAAAAATGCTCGAAATCGGATAGGTTGCAAATTAACCAAGGACAGTCCTACCCTTATGCCGACCCTAAATGGTTGTAAACACCATGAATAAGTGCAAATGATGCAAATTTTCAGTTATAGCRTAAACAGGCTTTACCCTAAGAAGCAATCAGCATCGTGGATCCATTGGGAGAAGAACTGYGCAGTTACAGTCTCTTGTGTATTTGGGAACTGAAGCTTTTCTAGAATGCTGAGAAGCAGTGGTGAATTGTAGTACAGTGCAGCTATTGCCTGTGAATTGAATAAGATAACTATTGAAATTATAGTGAAGATGAGGAATACYTGGGAAATAAGAGAACACAATCCAGGACAAGCTGACAGTTTTAGGTAGAATAGGATGAATGAGAGACCGAATATATTCATTCTAGTTGATATTCAACATCGAATAGAATAGGATGTTGAATATCAACTAAGAATGAATGTATTCGGTCTCTCATTCATCCTATAGACCCCTTGCAGTTCATGGGAATGCAGCTCCAACTGGAGGACAAAACAATAAATTCTAGTTCCCAAGAGGATAAAAATCGTTTGTTTTGTCCTCCAGATGAAGCTGCTTTGACGTCACATGCAAGGGGTCTATAAGAGAACACATACAGGGAATTCGACAAAGAAAAAGAGCCTTGTCTTTCCCTGCCTTTTTAAGACAAAACAGGAACCCATGGGTTGATGCCTGTATGTATTCAATCCCCTTTTCTACCACGAATGTAAAATTTCTCAATTTCTGATTGGTAGAGAGCCGTGTTATATAAAATTATTTGTTCTTTTTTTCTGGGATTGTTATCTAATTGTAGAATATTTTTTTGTGGTAAGAAAAAAAAAGATATCCACAAGACTTTGTCTCTTGGATGAATAACAATTTGACGATTCGACGACGCTAAATTATTAAATTGCCATTCAATAACTCCAGGGGATTTTTCACATAGGGCTAACCTCTTAACTTCCTTTCTAGATGCCTATTTCGTTATATTTTTCGTTTTGTATCTCGCTTTATACTGCTTTTATATGTGTATTTGTATAGTATTCATTTGCATCTGGAATAAATCTTTATTGTATTGTATTGTATTGTATTGTATTGACGATGTCATTGTTTTTCATATATCAAACCTCACTTTCAGCGCATGAGGTCATAAAAGAAATGCCATGTTCTTTTTCTATGCTCAGACCCTGTAAAACCTTGTTACACGCAACACCCTTAACCCTTATTTAGGGGTAGGCTCCACTGCCAAATGGGAATGGGAACGAGTTTCACCGAGTAATGTGTGACTTACCACTTGCAAGCACATTGTTCTGAGTTCGCTCCCTTTGACTTCCCTCGTTAACCTTTCAAGGGCAGCTTCCACAAAAAACGGAATCCACTAAAACAGATCAAAAGCACATACACACTAAACGAAATTATTCAACTTAATAATCCATCAATACTTGTAAATCGGTTGTAAATCGCAAAATATCTGTATAAATTGGGATCTTTATACATCATGGCACTGGAGAAGAGTGACTGGTCTTCCTGTGGTGACAGAACTAAAGAAACATTGTAGCTGTTTCTGAGCATGCTCAGTTTGGATGTGTCAAAACCCATGGCTATCTTAAAGTATAAATCAGGTGTTATTTTCAATCAATTAACAAAACCCAAGACTTCTTTGCAATCGCCGTTCGACAATTGGCATTATTCGACATTTTATCCGACCATTTTTGAAATAGGTACTTTAGTGAAGTTATTGTAAGATTCGACCTTAAAACCGAAGAATGAATATGGATTACAAATGGATATTTGAGGTCACCACATTTTCCGTATATGAACAATTTAAAACACGCGACCGGACCAAAGCCCTTGAAAATTGTAATTGTAAATCACATTTGAATTTCATAACAACTAAGTGTCTCAGTAAATATGGTTGTTGCAGCTGAGATTCATAATTAGTACAAATATCTGGTTGTTTCTAGCTTAATGGTTTTCATTCAGACGTTTCGATCTGTTCTTAGTACCTGATCTATCTCTCCTCTGCATTGCAGTATTGTAACTTCYAGAAGTTTAGCTGCATTAACCTGGTCGTCTTCCCCAGGGTCTTCGGTTAACATCTACACAGGAAACCCAAAAACGAAATCAAGGAAAAGAAGGGAATAATTTGTATTGGATGTTAGCTCGCTTCACGTCAATTAGGAACAACACGAGGAGATCTCAATGACATTATTCAAATCAATTAGGTAAATCAAGAAAATTTAGGATAGCAACCGCAAAGACAGAGAGTTTTGCAAACACCTTCATTTTACTATAGCTTTCTTTCGTATATTTTTAATGTTTAGGTAGGTACAAATATTTTAATTGCTGTTAAGTTTCCAGAAATTGAAAGAGGATGGGAGAAAACAGGACTAAGCAATAGGATAGATATAGAAAGGGTACCAACCTTTTTCGACATTTTATAAATAATTTCCACATGTTTAGGGTTCGAAAGGAATGCTGGGGTATCCACTGTGATAAAGTTGTGAAGCACCGGCATCATTTCTAGAATATATCAATAAATATGTGAAATTTGAAATACGTAAGGCAGTGAAACGTGGAATCTCCGCTTCTTACGCTCAGGTTAAAGTCGACTCTCGCAATGCAAACTGGATAATATACGAACATCCTGCCATTAGATACGTTAATACGCTTCTCGCAAACGAAATTAATACAAATTTTATTATAAGCTTTACAGCCGCGGACACTCTCTATTGCGGACAGTTACTAGGATTGTCCGGTTTTCAGCCCCAACGAGGGTTGACTGTACTGCTGTAACTACAGTTAATCCCATTAACATTGTTCTGTTGAAACGCCTTACCAGCAAAAAAGTCAAAAGCATCTCTTTCAAAGGCTTCATAGACCAAGAAATATAGAGACCACATTTGTGGTGAGATTTCAAAGCAAGTACATGTATTGATTATCGAGAAGACGTCNTGCCTTTTCGTGCTGTAGCGATGGCGTTTCACGGTAACATGATGATTTTCAGCAATTCTAATATATACGGACAATGGATGGAATATTTGAATGCCTTTTCGAGCTGTAGCGATGGCGTTTCACGGTAATGTGATCATTCTCAGCAATTCTAATATATACCGACAATGGATGGAAAATTTGCATGCCTTTTCGAGCTCTAGCGATGGCTTATCATGGCTTTATGTGATGGAAATAGGCGTCGATTATTGCATTTTAGGAGATAATAATTATAGAGTTTTTATTCGGCCATAGTTAGTACTAACTATGATTCGGCCTAGTGTCCACATAATCCCTTGACTAAACTAAAGGATGTCAAAACCTGCTTGTGACGTTCCTAAATATTTTTACAAAATCTAGGTTTGATAAACCAAGTCTTCAGTGCATTTGAAGATTTTAATCTTTTAAAATATCTTTTGTCAATGCAAGATGAATCTATAGTCCAGTCCTGGCCTCTCGTTTCCGACGCTCGCGGAATCGCTGGGGAAAGAGAGTCCAGTATAACTTGCATGCGCATGTCAGCTTAGCGACCTCGTGATTACCACATCGATGTGGTAATCACGAGGTTACCTAGTCCTATACAATTACCAAGATGGCGGAGAGCGCGGTGGAAGGTAGTTTCCACTTGAAATACAAAGATAATTTTGGACCGGCTTTTCTAAATGCCGTTAGTTATGCCTTAAAAAAATGTAAATATAATTTTAGTCCTAAGTTCGAACAGCTTCAAGCCATTCACGAATTAAMAATTGGAAAAGATGTTTTCGTAAATCTTAGTACTGGCTTTGGAAAATCCTTGATCTATACTCTCTTTCCCTTTGTCTGCGTGCACGTGAAGTAAACAAACCACTGACCATTATAAATTGCGGGCTCTCAAAATTCAACTTTATTCTGATTGGCTGGTCCTGCACATGCGCATGCAAGTTATACTGGACTCTCTTTCCCCAGCGATTCCGCGAGCGTCGGAAACGAGAGGCCAGGACTGGACTAGATGAATCTACTACAAAATTATTTTCCAAATATTGCTTTGAAATTTTAAGTATATATAATGATGAATGTAATTAATATATAATTATATTATATGATTGCAATTCTTATGTTTGTACAGCCTTTTGCAAAAATTATGAGAATTGTCGAAATATCTAAATATCATAATATCGAGTGCATGATGGGTAATCCCGAGCGAAAATTATGAGAATTGTCGAAATATCTAAATATCATAATATCGAGTGCATGATGGGTAATCCCGCGCTATGCCCTTAGTCCCTTGTCTTTGTAGTTTAGGGTTTTTTTTGGCGACAGACTTATCCGTAGTTSTGAACATTTTCTCGATGTCAACAATGAATTATTCTAGYAAACCCGCGTGTTCCGGACAATATATGGATATGGATATTATGATATTTAGATATTTAGACAATTCTCATAWTTTTTGCAAAAGGCTGTATCCTATGTATCAATTTGATATTTAGAGGATTAAAATTATTGTTATATTATTATCGACACTAATCCCTAAAGGGAAAATTTAGGGACAAAAGGACTTACAAAAAGAGTCGAGGTCTTCATTTTACACAGGGTTCCCAAGATTACAGTGAATTATACAAGAAAGGTAATCAAATAAGGACAACTGAATCCTTTGGTCCCAGTGCTCTATTGTAAGCATTGATATRCAGTAAAAATGTGTAAATACAGAGATTACTTACCAACTATCACACCTCGTACATGTGGCTCTATGTGGTCTTTTGCTATATGTAATCAAATAAAATTGTTAGGCAATGGACTTTATGCCTCTTCCAAAATAGTCTCGTCCATGTTAAGTGGAGAGGGCATGGAACCGACATTAAGAACGGTCGTGAAGCAATATTGTATCAAGAATATTCACGACTTTCGATACTCAGGTCCAGTGACGACGAACAAAGCATTGAACCGAGGCGTCAAGGAACACTGATCACAGATCTTTTCTTTTATGCTCACTTTATCTTGACACCTCGGTTCAATGCCTTCTTCGTGGTCACTGGACCTATGTCAAGTCGTGAATACACTTTTGCCTTCTCGAGAAATAAACGCAAGACAGACTTTTATAGACCCCTTGCATGTGACGTCAAAACAGCCTTATCTGGAGGACAAAACAAAAGATTTTTAACCTCTTGGGAACTAGAATCCATTGTTTTGTCCTCCAGTTGGAGCCGCATCCCCATGAACTGCAAGGGGTCTATACTGGCTCAGCAAACCGCTGACATTTAGCCGTCACGACACGGGGCTCGAGAAGAAGACTGTGGTATTAGTATATTAGAAAGAAAAAGACAAAGAAAAAAAGAAGACAAGAAGAAAGACAAAATCGAAAAGCCTACCTCTTTCCTGTCCTGTGATAAGAAACTGTAGTGCTATAGCAGCCTCGACCTTCACAGGCACCTCTTTATCTTCTATCAAACACAGCCTTGCAGAATCCACAGCCTTGGCTAAGTTATTATCATTCTTGAATTCAATGTCGCCAAAAACATGAAGCATCCAGCAAGCCTGATAAAATAGAAATTGATGTAGAGAGGKTTTTGAAAAACTGTCTCCTTAAAGGCTCACGAGCATCAAAAACCTTTGTTCAATTTTCTCACATTAAAAAAAAATTCGCCATCTTTGACTTTGAACTAATCAGAAAGCACCTTTCAACAATAGATCATTTGTAAAACAAAAGAAACGATTGCAAAGGATCTTGGATATACGTGAGAATTTAAACCACGGGCAACCAAGAGCATCCACGCAATTTTCTCGAATACAAAAAAAAATTGTCGACTTCGACTTTGAACAAATCAGAAAGAACCTTTTAACGACAGATTTGTACAACAAAAGAAACGACCGCAGAGGCTCTTGGATGTACTTGGGCCTTAAAGGGACATGGTCCACTAGCATGCAATGCGGTCGTGTTTTAGATTTTTCATATATGGAAAATGAGGTGACTTCGAATATCCATTTGCAATCCGTTTCCATCCATCGGTTTAACGGTCGAATCTTAAAGCATCTCC